CATTGAAATTGAAGGAACTTGTTACACATTACATTATCGGAGCATTATTCAAAGGTAATACCGGGTGACCAGTTATATTCTGACCCATTTCAAAATGCTTATATCTCTGAAACCATTCAAGTTATCGTTGCGCAGTTTGGACTAGTCTATTTTGATATTTTTCAAGTTTTTTTTGACAGGTTCACCTTCTCTCTTGAACATCCGGTTCTACCGGATACAAACTAGCTATTATTCAGGTATAGGGCAACTTTTTTATTTCATTGAATCACCCTGTATATTTTTGCACATTCAGAAAGACTGGTCTTTTCTCTTTCTTACAATGTATAACAAGTTATGTCTTCTCAGAAAACTATCAGAGTTATAACTGTTTGAAACAACTACTGCATGTGGAATGGTTTAATGAGATTTTGCAATGTAACCAAAGTCGTCTTTGGAAATCCTGATCACAACACATGAAATGCCAGATTAGATGTGTCAAATAAAGATTGTCGAGCATTTGTACTTTCTTTGAGTTGAAAAAATGTTTACTTTGACTGAAAAAGCAAATGAACTCATCATACATCTGCATCAGATTTATACTCAATATACGGTAATTCAGCATTTCAGGATAACATCCTAATATGCAGTAGATGCTTCAAAGAGTTATAACTCTGATAGTTTTCTAAGAAAACATAACTTGTCATACATTGTTAGGAAGAGAAAAGACCAGTCTTTCTGAATGTGCAAAAATATACAGGGTGCTTCGATGAAATAAAAAAGTTGCCCTATACCTAAATAATGGCTAGTTTGTTTCCGGTAGAACCGGAAGTTCAAGAGAGAAGGTGAACCTGTCAAAAAAAACTTGAAAAATATCAAAATAGACTAGTCCAAACTGCACAACGATAACTTGAATCGTTTCAGAGATATAAGCATTTGAAATGGGTCAGAATATAACTGGTCACCCGGTATTTTTAGATTTGAAAGGGAAAAATGTATAAAACCCCTGCATTAATTTATGGTGGGTCAAACACGAGCCGGTCCCATGACTTCTACCAGAGATTGTGGATATGTGTTTGAGGTCGACGAAAAAATGTAATATGCACCTCGGCGACAAACTATCTATTGTCTCGCCTGATTGCTAGCCTCGCCTGAGACCTCGGTATCAATTTTCAAACTCGACTATAATAGACAGTTTTTTCGTCCTTGGTACATAAATAACTATTTCGGAATCAATATAATAGCGTATTCGACTGGCTGCACTATTGCGCATTCAATTCCAACTTTCGTCGTGCGTGTGTTCGGCTGGTATGCACTCAGACAGTACCAATATTATTTCTGTTTCATTTTGATTGGTTTTTATTTGAGTTAGAAATGTTTTGTTATTTTCTGATATGAAATTCTTTGTTTGCCATTTTACAGTTGTTGATATATTTTGAATGATGATATATTTACCTATTGGTATATAATTATGTACTTCCTTATAACAAAGCCCATTCTGTTGGGATGTTATTTGTTCAATTTGTTCAATTTTCACATGAAACCATGCAAAAAACAGTAAAAACATTTTCACATGTGGTAGGCCATGATAATAAGGAAACAAAATATCAGTCATCATGACTACAAGTATCAATACCTGTTCATACCCGTGTATAACAAAAAATTATATTAGTTATATATTATATTAGTTATATTCGGCTGAACGGGCACTCCTCAAGGGTAGAGCAGAATTTATGTTTGACTGGTAAAATCACTCGTTGTTAATTGGAATGTTTTCGCACAGTAATTTTTGACGGTGCCACGGGTCACGGGCTGAAAAATGTTGAAAGATATTGGGTGTTTATTCACATTGTTATGTTCATATTTCGAAATGAATGTAATAAAACAATTATTAGCAATCGATTCCTTATTGTCGAGCAACGATGATAGTAGCTATAAGTGGATAGCAATAATGATATTTCTGACTTCATAAAATCGAAGTAGGGTGATACAGGAAAGCAGAAAATTAATGATACCCAGAACTAAGGGCCAATATTTTCACTATCACCAATTGGCGCTACTAAAACATGAGGTCAATGTCAAAGTCAAAAATCCCAAAATTTTGCCGGACAGACCCTAAAATGTAGAATATTTGAACAAATAGAAAACCTCAAGTCATCGAAAGACGTGAGCCGTCTTACGTTTTTTTACTCTCAATGTGGAACTTTACGACCGATTCATACATTGACGGAGAAGAAGATATAGCAGAAGGCCGAATGACACATATATTTATCAGTTCTACCAACCCTGACCTAATGTTTCGGTGGCGTGGTTTGGTGGACAATAAATAATATTAGCCCTCATTGCAATAACATATTAGAATACGAGGTATTCGCATGTAGTAAATGACATATTGCATTATAGGTACCTACTATTCCCCATCGAACGTCTGATTATGCACAAAATATCTCTATACTTATTATGCCGCAAATAATTCTTCTCTTCATACTTCGAAATTTAAGAAATATTTTGACAATTTGTCAATCTTGAAGTAAAATATTTGATTAAATCTTGCTTAATCCAGCCTTAGGATCAAAAAGCACGTGGTCCTGAACATACCAGTCGAATATTCATATGGTCAATATTGAACTTCATCTATACAGTGCCATAATAATTCGAATTATCGTCATCCATCTGTTCTAGATTGGTTCGTACTGAGCGAATTCTGTCCGTGGTCAGTGTTGTGCTAAATACGCATCTATACCGTGTCAGTGCAATCCAGTCGAATACGCTAAGTTATTCCTGATTTTTTAGTGCCTACTTTGTCTTTTGGATTCCATAATAAACTAAGTTCAATCTCCTCCTGCCACCAGATCATGCTACTAAGGCGGCATGACTTTGGAATTCCCAAAAACTTATAACCTCCAAAAGTTCAAAAAAATGCTGATACCTACCTTTTCTCCCTATCCTCCCTGGATACTCACGATCGGATTCCCTTTCGTGTGCTACAAAGGCTGAAAAACGTGAAGTCAAAGTTGATAGAACTGAAAGGTATTTTTTCTTTTCGTATCCTTTGCATTCTTTATATTAATGTAATAATTGCGCGTGAAGTTAAACATTGGAGGTGAAAACCCAAGCCATATCAAACAAAAAGATTTTGTATTCATTCACAAATGACACATCATTGTTTCAGCAAATTTTCGAGCAAATCAGGCCACAGCCTTTAGGGTTAACCAGAAATATTTGGTGAATCTTGACATTGACCTGTTCTAGTAGGGCCTAGCCTAGTGTCCCTGTATGTATTTGATAATGGAGGCGTCGAACGTTGGTTTGGCATGTGGTTAAACAGTCTAATAACTATTGTGCCAAATATTCCAATTTTTAATGTGACATACAGTGCGTTTCAAAAATGTATGCCAACATTTCTGAGGCATATTTCTGACATCGTGTGATACGAAAGAAAATGAAAATGCTGGCAGTTACATGCAGATCTAGTCATGGTAACGTCATCTGGTGGCAAAATAAGTTATGAGTTGCCCTATCTGTCAGCAGACCGAGTGCGACTGATGAGCCCGGTGAACCAAAACACCACTACCTCGCTCTTGCTGACATTTGGGTCAACTCTTCTATCCATATACCGGGTGGCTACGGAAGTATTGCCTACGGAATATCTCAGTTATTGTATGAAGTAGGTTTGTGAAATTTGGAGCGTCGATATAATGACATAAGAGCTAGAAGTTGAGCATATTGACATGTCGAAGTTAACTTCCGGTCTGACCGGAAGTAACATCAACTTTCTTATTTCAAATGGAAACCCTATTTTTCTTTCTTTTCGCTTTATTCAGCATCCAGTTCCCTTTCTAATGACATATCACAAGTTGGTATCTAACCTAACCTATCAATTTGAATTTTTTTTTTCGATAAATCTGTTTTTTTGTTATTTGAAGAATAATAATTGGATTTTTTGGTATTTCATTTCAAAATATGACTTTCTATTATATCATTAGAAAGGAATGGTTATGCTGAATACTACTGGCAAGAAAAAGTTGTATGTTCCTATTTAAGTTATGGACCTACAGAGTATTGTTTTTTTTTCCCAATTTTTTCAATATTTTTTTTGGCGGCTTTTTATAACTCCGACGAATGAAAATAAAATATCAGAGTAGTAGCAACTGTTATCAAGTGACGTATGGTTTCCATAGCCAACTTTTCAATTTTTGGCTTTCATTTTGCTTCCACGGCCTACTCGGTGAATTTCAATAATAATTTTTTTCTGATCTAGTTTCTGGTTAGATACCAACTTGTGATATGTCATTAGAAAGGGAATTGGATGCTGAATAAAGCGAAAAGAAAAAATTATAGGGTTTTCATTTAAAAAAAGAAAGTTGATGTTACTTCCGGTCAGACCGGAAATTAACTTCGACATGTCAATATGCTCAAATTCTAGCTCTTATGTCATTATATCGACGCTCAAAATTTCACAAACCTACTTCATACAATAACTGAGATATTCCGTAGGCAATACTTCCGTAGCCACCCGGTATGTTATGATATCTGGTTCCCTGGACCGAAATTATTTTGATAAACAGATACCAGAAACAATTCTATATCGAGATACAGGATGTTGGGGTCAAAGATAAAATCTTGAAGGAGATGAAAAAACATAATTATTTCTCAACAAGAATAGTTGATTTGTTAAAATTCTAGCACGCAACTTTTTCGAGGAACGGAAAGATGTGATCCGACGCAAAATTTAAGTGTAAGTTTTGGGTGGTCAACTCAAGAAATCTATTGAGGATATTCTAAAAAATGTGCAACTATATATTTATATTCAACTCAACTTCCCTATATTATTTGTATAATCATGCTCTGAATTTGTTGATATATATTTTTGGAATGGATTATTTAGCTGTGCACCATCCCTTCAATAAAGCAAAATGTTTTCCAGGAATTATTCTGGATTTATACACAAGCAATTATTAGTTTAATGCCATACACCAAAAAGCGAGCTATAAGCTACCCAGTCAAAGATGAAGAAAATTTACCTAAATGATTGACATTTTCTGTGACATCAAACTCGTAGGATTTGTTACTTTCTTGTGAGAAAAAAATATTGTCAGTTTGACTGTCCAGAATCATATCGAGTTCAGCTGAATTGTCCTTATCGGCATCATTGTCAGTTCCATCTTGACTGTCTGATATTTCCCATAAGTTGTCCTTTGTTACTCGATCAATGTCAGTTATGTCACTATCACAATCATTTGCTATTTCATCATTTTCCGAAGCATTATTTTCCAAATATTCTGTATCCGAAAGCAAACCAGGGGAGCTATAGTTATGTTCACTATGAATATAACAACTGTCGACCATATGCTCAGAATCTATCTCTTTACCTTTATGTAATTCATTCTCGCCAGACCCCAATCCATTTATAATAGGTTCTGAATCTTTGTTCAATGATTCACTATCAATAGTTGCATCTTTATTTTCATACTCTTGATTTGGCCCCACCTTTTCATTATTAGAGATAGAAGATCCTTTGAAGGATTCTTCCATGTCAGGAGTTGAAGCACAACCATCAACCATAGACTGAGTATCCTTCTCTGCAGATGTTTCACCATTATGTATTTCATATTCATCAGACTCCAATCCATTTATGTCAGATTCTGAATCAATGTTTGATGATTCATTATCAACAGTTGAATTTCCCATTTGCTTCCCTTGATTTGGCCCTACCTGTACATCATTAGGTGTAGATGATTTTTTGAAAGATTTTTTTATGTCAAAGGCTGAAGCACTACCATCAACCTTGGACGCAGAATTCTTCCTTTTAGATGTTCCATTGTTGGGTATTTCATTTTCACCAGACCCCACTATTTTCGAGGGTTCTTTATTAACAAGTGAATCAACATGTTGCCTCTCTTTATTCGACTTTACTTGTTCATCCACAGGTTTGAAAGGCTCTTTGAATGAATCTTCCAAGTCAGAAGCTGAAGCACAACTGTAACTATGATCATTCAAGAAGCCAGTGCTTCTATCTGTTTCTTCATCTGAATCAAATTTTAATGTTTCAACAGAAAATGGGTTGTCATCCTCGTCAGCAACACTGGAGATAGATTTTGTTGGAGAAGATACATTGTGATTCTGACACTGGATATCGGAAAGTTTGCTAGCTTGGTCTTCAATCCCATCCATAACGACAGCTGAACCTATTTCTGGTTCTGTCATGTGACCTGTTCCTGATACATTTTCAATCTCGATATTTTGGGTTCCAGATTCCTTCGCTCTTATATCAAGGTTATCCACGGTATCATCGTTTAATACACTATCATCCCCCTTAGGATCAATTTCTAGGTTATTTGTAACAGTATCAAGATTTCCTGAGATACTGCTGTCGAGTTTTCTTGGGACATTTAAAGACCTATTCGATGAGGGTTTTTTTTCTACCTCAATTTTGTTATTTGATGACTCTAGAGTTTTCATTAATTTAGATGCTGATTTTTTAGGAGTACTCCCACTTATTTTCTTCATATATTCTGAATCTACGTCTGTTTCATCTCCTGAAGAACAATCAAGCATTTTTCTTACTTTGGATGGCGGTCCTATAAGACAGTTATCATCAGATATAGGTACTGAAGTTTTATCTTCATCTAAATCATAAGCATTTTGAGATTCAGGTGCATTTGCATGAACTAAAACTTCATGTACTATTGCAGATTTGTCTGTATTTTCAGAAGAAGCAATTTTAGTTATAAGTTTTTGTGTGGGATTTAGGGATAAATTTTCGTCCTCGACATTATTATCGATATTTTCAATATGTGAATCGGACATATTTGCCTTTTTTGATATTTTCTGTGTAGGGGCATTATATAAATCTTCATCAGAAGAATCTGTATTTTCTATTTGGTCATTACTACAGATAGAGTCGTCATACATTATTTTCTTGCATGAATCACTTTCTTTAGAGCTTACACCGGGCACTTTGAAAACTTTGTCAATATCAGAATTTTCTTTGTGGATTGGCTTACCTTCTGAACATTTGGAACTAGATGGTTTAGATTGATTCGAATGATCATTCTCATTACATGCTAAAGGTGAAGAAGGGATCTCTGATTGCTCTAACAATTTGTCAGCCACTTCGTTTGTTGATAACATGTCCATTTCATCTTCAATAACAGCAGTTGCACCATTTTCCATTCCTGAATCTGACGTAATTCTTGTTTGATCGTCGATTTCCAGAGAATTATTTTTCTCCTCACCATCTTGATAATATGACTGAATATCATTGGTGATATTATCATTCACAGAATTCGCAAATTCTTTTAGTTGTTGAGTAGCATCCTTCTCATTCACAGGGCATTCTATGCTGGCATCTTCCTCATCAGAAGGAATCAATGGAGATTCTAAAATAAAAAATGAAGTTAATCAATGATACATGATTCATACAGGAAATCATTAGAAACTCACCCTTGTCTAGATTCATGAATTCATCTGTATTTTTGAGTACAAAGGACTGACTGGGCTCCATCTTCAAATCTGGAAAGAAATTAACCAAAATCAACCAGAAAACTATGAAAACTAAATATATTATAGACTTCGAAGATATTGTTTAGATATATGAAAAATTGATATTCATGATAAAGGGCGTGGAACTGAAATTCTGAATTGAGGAATCCCAATCATGAATCTGTGATTAGAGGTCTGTAAAAATAACAAATCTCCATCGTTCAAGTTAGAACCCCATGATTGGTTATGAAAGTATCGAAAAGGAATATTCTCAGATATATTATGAACATGAAAAAAATTTTTACATCTAGAGAAATACATTGAGAATTCACATTCTCTATCCCACAGAAAACAAGTACTTTCCTGGCTATTTGTCACGTCGAACATTGAATTATACGTATGTGTTGAACATCCAAGAGGAGGATATTGTTCTTAATGTTCAAAAATTGTCCTTATCCATCATTCGGTTGCCCCTTTACGAGCAACCTTCAAATGTCTTCAATTGACTTGTACGAGCAAGGAATGACGGGGGTCTTACCTTTTAACATGTGATCCCAAACACTTTCTTATACCATCAGAAAATATTCTGCGGTCGTGGTAGGAATCGAACCCACCTATCGGAAATACAACGTGGATAGAATACTGACGCTTCAACCACGAGGCTACGCTAACCTCATATGAACATAAAAATCACCTGAAATTGACGATTGACATTCTCTTTCTGAAAATATTATTTATAATGATATAAAAATATAACTTATCAGTATATTGAGTATTGAAATGGGAATTAAAATGTATAGGAGAAATGTTCTTGTACAAACTCCGATCTTGATGAGTTTAAAGCTTCCAAAAATCATTTGTGTCTGTGATGTTCGCGATACATCTATCACAAACAGGTCATGACTTTATTCGAATGTACTCATTTCGGGTATCAAACCTGTATGATGAATATAAATTTGACAGATGTATCCCGAACATCACTGATAGGAATGAGTTTTGGAAGCTTTAAACTCATCAAGCTCAGTGTTTGTACAAGTATACTTCTATAGATTTCAATTTACATTTCAATGAATATATTGATGTTATATTTTTATTTTTCATTCGATTTGAAAGATAATGTCAATTTCAATTTCAGATTTTTATTTTCATATCCTTCTCTCTTGGACGTTCAACAAATATAATTCGATGTTCGACGTGAAAAGTAGTTTTTTTCTGTTGAATATTCAGAATTAAATTACATAAATAATATATATTTGTATCTGAAAGAGAATGCAAATTCTCGACTTAAGCAGATTTAACTTTAAAATACTCATTTTGTGTGTTCATTTGATATAATTCAATGTTCGTCGTGTCATATAGCCAGGAAAGAAGTTGTTTTCTGTTGAACTGTGTCCAAGATAAGAATGAACAAACAGCATGGGGATCTCGGAAACGGTAGGAGATACGAATTCGGTTTAATTAGAGAAAAGTAGCGTAATTATGTGCCTAATGATATGCCATTTACAAAGTTTCAATATTCCGAGTAGTTTCGGAGATATCCGAGAAAAACCGAAATTTGAGAATTTCGTTTTTATTTTCTCCTAGCTTTATTTCCGAAGGAAATGTAAAACAAATAGCACTTTGTCATGGCCACTTTTTGAGGAGTACATGATAACGTAAGCATATTTTTTCTGCGAAGTTTCGTCTTTTAGAAAACATCATCAACTTTGTATTTTTATATGAGCCGAAACCGAAGTATACCTTGTATACGACTCCATTTTCCATTGTGAATACATCAACGTATCACACAATATGATTTCAGAACAATCTCTCGGACAAATTGAAAAGTGATTACTCCACCTGTTTTCATAGTAGGCGCTGGAAAAATGGCACATAATGTTCTGTTGTCATAATAATACTGTAGTTTGGTAGTATTTTTGACATATTACCGTTCCTACTTTTACATCTTGTTACTTACCTAGATTGTGTAAAAAATGGAAAACGGTAGCTTTTCGAATATTGAAAAATATGATAATATGTTGTCATGTTACATTTTGTGCCAATGAAATTGTGTTGATGCTGAACGTAATAAGTATCCAGAGATGCGACAACCTGGTAAATCGATATTCAGACGGTTAGTTTTCAATTTGAAAGAATACGGATCATTTGTATAACCTGTGGTTCCCGACAAAACCAATCTTTAGCGGTTACTCACAGCTGTTGGTTTCAATAAGATAGTGCTCCAGCACTCAACGTTAGAATTGTTTGTGATAATTTGAACCGTCGCTTATATCCTGGCCTGCAGTTCCCCCCGACCTAACCCCACTAGACTTTTTCCTTTGGGAATATATCAAGAATCAAGTGTACTTTGATCATTATTTTCAAAATTAAGAAGATTTGCTAAGATTGGTTACTGCAGCCTTTAACAATATTGTTCCGAATATGTTGACTCAAGTTTTAAATTCATCTGTGAGACGAGCGTACTGGTGCTTAGAAAATGGCGGCAGGTTATTCAAACACTTGTAATAAGTTTCTGTTCATTTCCTGTAAGTAATACATATTAGCTCCTTGTTATTACATTGAAACTACATTTATAAACTAAACTTTCAATATTGCACTCAACAACACAAAAATTCCGGCAAGTTGTAAGTTGAAACTCATACTTGTATAAATAAGACTATTCAATTCACTTCATGTACTAAAATATGTCATTTTTTCCAGCGCATACTATCTAAAATTGAGGAAAAAACAGGTTAAGTAATCACAATTCATTTTATGCGAGAAATGGTTCAGAAATCATATTGTGTGATACGTTGCTGTATGCACAATGAAAACTGGAGTCGTATACATGGTACACTTTAGTTTCGGCTCATATAAAAATACAAAGTTGATGATGTTTTCTAAAAGACGAAACGTCGTAGAAAAAATCTGCTGAAGAAGTGTATGTATTTAAAAAATCGCACGGATATATTGAAATATTAATATTTTACCCAAGGTATAGAAAGCAATAAGGGTAAAGTCTACCGTGTTTTATTTGAAAAAGCAACATTTTATAGAAATATTTGCGAGGTCGCAGTTATCAGTCTTCCTGAGTCGCTGTGAGTATAAGCGTTATACTCGCAGTAACGTTATGCACAGGTAAGACTTTCGGAGACGCGAGTAGTTACTACGTGGTAACTACATTATACGCATTCCCTATTTTCTACCTTCAAGGCACTGAGACTAGCTTGCTAACGTCAGGAGTCGCCGAATTCAACCGAACAATGGTGATGCCAAATGAGGCAATAGTTTTTTTCTTATTCAATATGATATATTTTTCAACATGGAAAAAATTCGAAATTTTATTTCAGTCAATGATATAACAGGGGGAAAACCCAACGATTTTATAGACAACAAGGATGGCTCAGTTCCACTAGTAGTAGTAGCAGTAGTATATGTACTTCGTTGGTGTGTATGTACAATTTCGTTGGTATGTATGTACAATGTACATACCAACGGCATAGACCTTACGAGATGCCCTTCAGGTCATGACTGTTCTGTGTAGGCTTTGTTACTAACTCCATACGCCACCTTAGAAGCAGCACTGTTGATTGGAACGCAATAGCGAATCATGCGGAATCATCTCCGACCGAGGATGGAATTGGAATTTATAACTCGTTTTATAGATGAAAATTCTCTGCTCTGCCGGGGATTTGAACCTTTCGATGTTCTGATTAGTAGTTGAGCGCCTCCACCACTGCGCTATTCCGCCGTCTCTCAGTTCAGTTCAATGTGCGTTGGCAAACTTGGAGTGGAGCGGAGCTGTGACGTCACCATAGGTGTTTTAAAGGATTTCCTGTTGTAATTTCGTTAAATAATTTGTGCTTTTCAAAGTTATGTTATTTTATTTTGAATTAGAAAAGACGAATATCAACATTTTATTCTTTTCGTTTTAATAATTAACCAAGAAGAACGTTTGTTCACACCAAGGTTAATACGATGATCCCTTTTCTGTGTGTGAATCCAGTGGTAATCGTTTTTTTCAGTTCATTATGCCACGAAAAATATGTGCTATTCAATCAATTAGCTCACACATTGTGTTTCATGGTTTTCCAAAAGACAAGGAATAATGGTTAATAGATATTAATTCAAATCATTCGTGTTCAAATAGTCATCCTGACACAGGACATTTCTCTCAAATTAATAAGCAGTGATAACTCAATGATAATTTTGAATGAACCTGTTTATACAGGAGGCCGTACGTTAATATGGCGAACATACCAGCACTAGAAAATTTCGATTGTGAAGGAGATCCTAGCTCAGTGGGTCGAAGGTTGTAAAAATGGACAAGGGCATTCGAAATTTTTGCTCTGGCATCGAATATAAAACAACCTCAACAAACGAGAGCAACTCTTTTACATGCTGGAGGCATGGGACTCCAAGAAATATATTACAATATACCAGGTGCACACATTGAGGGTTCGGAGGAAGTTGACGTATTCGCAGTGCCTATTCAGAAATTGAATGAATATTTTTGTCCAAAACAGAACAGTCTTTACGAAAGATACATTTTCAGACAAATAAGACAAGAACAAGATGAGAAATTTGAAAAATTTCTAGTTAGAATGCAAGCGAACGAATGTAAATTTACAAACTTAGAACATTTAATAGATCAAATTGTTGAAAAGTGTTATTCTAACGAATTGCGGAAAAAAATTCTTAGGCTAGGGGAAGATGTAAAACTCAATAAAATAATGTTAGAAGCTAACGCTTTAGAAACCGTTAACAGGGAGTTGGACGAATTTGAAAGAAAAAACAAAGGGGTCTTTCAAACAGTTAACAAAATTCAAAATGTCAAAAACCCTGGTACTTTTACTGATTATCCATGTTCAAGATGTGGTTAAGAAGGTCATAAGCCACATGACGAAAGTTGCCCAGCAAAAAATAAGAGGTGTTTGAAATGTGGCATAATGGGACATTTTGGAAAGTGTTGTAGATCGGGACGAAATCAAAGGGGTCCTTAAAGATTCAGGAAGCAAAAGTAATCTTTTGGATGAACAAACCTGGGAAAT